TATACTATACAGTTCAGAAATACGCATTATTTTACTCTGTATGATTAAACATGATACAGTCGAACTTCTTTATCTCAAATTAGGCGGGTTTTCGATTTAAACAATTTCGAATATTTTGTGTTAAGTCAGACAGGGACCGAAAAAATGATTCGACTTAAATGGGGTCTTCGAGTTCTACGATTTCGAGATAAAGAGGTTCGACTGTATATCACATTAATCGATGTTGTACAATACATCGTCATTGCTCCTAATACACATGCTGCATATATAATATGTTGTCCACATAACTCCTACATCAGTATACAAAACCCTCAAATTGGTTACATTGAAGACTGAAGGACTTCCTTATAAAAGTTCCTTGTTAGGCGTGAATAGTGTCCTAAGTGTTATAATACAAAGGTGAACACTGCACTTATCTTATATCTATTACTATTTAATAGCCTAATGCACTAGTGTAAGTATTAACATTTATCCTTATTGGCATCTATTGTAAATATTTACACATTAAATGTATAAACATGTATTATGTGTTGTACATGCTTAATAATGTAAGACACCAGATCGAAACTGAATGTCGTAAATATAAACTTTGTAGAGACACTGATCTTCTCCAATGTGGAAGAATCTATTATAGTGACAATCGAATTCAAATATTCATAGGCAAGATCGTACCGGAAGAATGGTTAACGGTTGACTACACAAAGACTTAAATTCCATTATAGACCTCGAACGTGATCTGACGTTGAAATGAATATTAGGGAATTGCATATTTAATTCTAAAGAGTACAGATATTAAACAAAACAACAAAACCCAGCCAAACAAACAAACAAAAAATAAAACCAAGAAAAAAATAGATTAAAAAATAACAAAATTACAAGAATAAAAAAAAAAAAAAAAAACGGCGGCCACGACCTCGAACAATACCGTCACTATGAAACCATTGGATACTGTAAAGCCAACAAGCCATGCGTGACATGCTCTGATATATTCAACAGTGTTAATGTAATATCGGGTTATGTAAATAGAATTCAGTTAAGTGCATAAAATTATGTACGTGTAAAGTTGTCATGTTAAGCTCATATATATTTCTCCATCGCTGCATACAGGTTAACAAATAAATCAACATATATACACAGAAAGATCCACACACATGCTATATATTGATCACGAGTTAAACTCCGGTTTGGCATAAAGAAGTCAAAAGTGATTTATGAATTAACTTTTCTTTATTTAACGGTATGTGTATTTGTATCAGCCGAACTGGTGTCATGTACTGTGTCGATCGCTCTTTCCATTTAGATTATGGTATACAGTAATGACTTAAATAGTTTCAAATTGCGTATTTTGAAATTGCAATGTACTCTTTTGATCATTGTAGTTTAAAATCGGCAAGTTAAAAAGTTAAAGAAGTTTAAAAAATCCTCTCCAGATAAATTTAAGTCTTTATCTAAGATTATACTAAGGACACGGCTTTAGTACATTTCGATAAAATTACATTTAGTAGGGCTAAGTAATGTAAAAAAAAATCTAATTTTAGACTATTTTAAAATTTAAGTGTCTTGTAAAAGTTAAATGACCTAATTAGTTTTCGAGCAAATAGGTATTTAATTATTTCATAAATTATTGAAAATTGTAAAATTCGTTCGCATGATTAATTCACTATATAATCAGAAATAGTTATGGAAAACGCTCCTGCAGGTTTAGGAAAATTATGCAACCACACGCTCATAACAAGCATATATGATCGACGCTTTTGACTTGTCGCCGCAAGGCTACCGTACTATCTTACCGCAAGTCCATGTGTTTGTACGGGACACAGTAGTTCAGGTTTATCAGCAGAGTGACCGCACGAGATACTAGGCGTTTCATCGTAAGTAGTCGTTTCCTATACTTTCTGACCATATGTATGTGTGGTTCATTGTATTTAGAAATGTTTTAATTATAATTCTATTCTACCCTGCTTGTATATATAAAAGTTTTATATAAATTAGTTTGTTTACAATTCAAATAGATTGATTATTCAAGGACGTCTGACTTGATGTTGACATAAATATATACACACTGAACAGTTTTTTTTCTATCATGTGTTTGATCACAAATATACACATAGTAATTAGTATGTTGTCAGTATCATTGGTTCGATTGTTGACAGAAATATTGAACATAGATTCACTGATTGTAGATTAAATGTCAGGACTTAATAAATGTAACAAACGGATACTCTCTCTCTCTCTCTCTCTCTCTCTCTCTCTCTCTCTCTCTCTCTCTCTCTCTCTCTCTCTCTCTCTCTCTCTCTCTCTCTCTCTCTCTCTCTCTCTCTCTCTCCCTCCCTCTCTCTCTCTCTCTCTCTCTGTCTCTCTCTCTCTCTCTCTCCCCCTCTCCCTCCCTCCCCCCTCGAAACAAAATACAAATGAATTTGTATACACGTTCTGCAATTCTTTAAACTTCATGTGAAATATCATGTGCGACGGCCTTTGTCTTTATACACTATTGAGGTGTTTACATGATGCCTTACTGTACTCTGTAGTCCGTCACTTAGCTACAGTTATAATTAACTTGTTAAGCTGTTTGACACAGGGTCATGCTGACCTGTTATAAGCATTGTATTTCGTCCCTTACGTGTACAACCACCGAATAGATGTTGACCAAACTTGTCCAAATCAATGATTAATTATGTGACCGGAGAAAATTCCCTGATGCTTAACTTGGGGACACGACACCCGTAGCGCTAGGTATGTCATGAGGCCTATACAGGGTAGATCTAAATATTTCTTTTAAAAAGCTCTTTACGGGTCTGTTGCACCTTCAACGCCTTTTCTAATGTTTGTAATGTCGATTTCCAAAATTTTCTCCCAGATACACCCCATTTAAGTTATCTGTTTGGTCAAAGGTCACAAATTCTATCTTTTTCTTTTTTTGGAAAAAAAATACAGATCGATGTAGAATGTTATTCAAATAAATTTGATCTACGTTAATGTTTGATGACATAAATGACCTTGGCCTACATTTAAGGTCACAGGGGTCAATCATGTCAAAATATTCAGAGATTATTTTTTCATTTACCTAAAGCCACACGGCGATGAAACTTTGACAGTTGCATACTGTGATCAATTGCTGCTGAGTGTTTTAATTAATGCTTGTCTGAATATTCAACTTCAAGGTTTCCGGTAGGGGTCAAAGTTGAAAATTGCTATTCTGGGCAGCAAATTAAAAAAAAACAATTCTTCACAAGTTCTGTAAAGTCTAGAGCCTTTGTATTTCAAATATGGGAAACATTAGTTATTGACAATCAGGTTTATTAATATAAATTATCTCTATTTACTTCCAATGGATCCATTTTGTTAAAATCTTGAAATGGCTCATAGCCCATACAAAGGCACAGGTCGACGATATTGGTCAATTGCATACTGACACCAATTTCTACCAGCAGTATTAAGAAAAAATATAATCAGTCAATTTCCGATAGGGGTCATATTTGACATAAGCTATTTTGGGGAACAAACATGGAAATTTTGTAAGGTCTGAGATCGTGATAAGTTCGAGTTATTGATATAAAGTTTGTTTATTAACCAACTTTCAAGGTCAAAGGAATCTTATTTGATTAAAATCTAGCAACGGATTTTTTCCCCTAAATAACTAAGTGTCACAGGATAATGATATTTGACGAGTTACATACTAAGACTAATTTCTATCAGCAATTAAAAATGACCGAATCGTACAAATGTACCTTGTCAACTTCAGATTTTTGATAAGGGTTAAATTTCAAAAGTGCTACAAACTTTGAAAAAAAACTTCTTTTCAAGTTCCACAACTTCTGGTATCCTATTATTACACACATAATATGTCCCGGTAATTTGCTATCAGGTGTGATAATATCAATGACCTTGACCCACTTTTGAAGCGATATAGGCCATTATTGTTCAAATATTTTAATGGCTTTGAAATTTGTTCATTTGCATATTGCATTCAATTGCTATTGACAGTAATAAGGAAATATTGTGTCAAATGTCAAGTCATGGTTTTCAGAAGGGGTCACCTTCAGAACGTTCTTTTTTGGGTAAAACAAATAAGTAATCTGAAGTTATAGTCACGTGTCTAGATAAGTAATGTATATATTGCTTGACAGGTTAGCTATTGTGTTTGTGGAAATGATTTACCTTTAGGTAAGAGGTTTAATATAGGTGAAAAATCGTGTCAATTGTTGCCCAACAGTTTCTAGTTTGGTATAATATGCCTTTGGATGTCAGCCCAATTTCCTGCAAAAATACATAGCTTCGTCGCCATTACAGTAGTAATATTTTTTCATTTCAAGTCGGCCTTTCTCACACGGAACACTATTGTAAGTCCAAGGACTCGAACGAACTCGAAACATACTGTAAATTTTATTCACTTTACCTGTGAAACAAGTAAAATCAACTAATAGATCACGTTTGAGGGTATTACTATGGGGACACTGTGTGGACTTAATGGTGACATCATGCCTTTTCGCGGTCGGGGAATCCATTCCTGGTCACTTTCTTGTGGAAGTCGATAAAAATAACACTGCGCCATCTTGGTACCATAATGACAAGATACCGAATTTAGATGTATTTAGATAAGTAAGTCAGCTCTAGTTAATACAAAGACTCTCTAAACTCTTCGACCTTGACACCAACAAGTTATATCGGACACTCTTTATCAAGAAACATTATCAACCGAAAAATTTGTCTAATATAGAGGTCAAGAGTATTAGGTAAATATATACAAACGGTGTCTCATGTAATGTTGGTCACACAAGAAGTTTGTCGGGGAACAAACATACCGCAGTGTAGAGGCGGACTAATTTCGGCTTTTAAAACGCAAATTTAGACCATTGTGAAAAAGGTAAAGATCAGCTTTAAAATTAGGTTCATGATATAGTTACGCCACCTGATTTCTGGAATTATGAAATATAGATCATAGGTACAATTCAGTCAAATTTGCGAATAATAATGATAGTCTTTACCACGTATTCTTGCAGATGGCATACCGTTTCCTACGTTCATACCGAGGACCAGTGAAGGGCGTTATACTGGACTGGAGTGGAACAACGGCTGACAAATACGTTTTAGCGCCAGCTGTTGTGTTCGTAGATGTTTTCGAAAAACACAAGGTACCTATCAGCATGCCCGAGGCACGGGGACCGATGGGTCTGAGGAAAGATCTTCACATTAAAGCCATCACAGAAAACAACGACGTAAGGAAAAGATGGCATGACGTATATGGAAAGTTTCCTGATCAGGGTGACGTAGACAACATGTTTAAAGACTTCGTTCCCATGCAGTTGGCGTGCTTGAGGAAGTACACAACTTTAATACCAGGTACAGCTGAAACCTGTAAAACTCTGAAGAATGAGTTTAATGTTAAGATTGGCAGCACAACAGGATTTCTCCGCTCAATGGTGGATGTACTATTGGAGGAAGGGCGGAAACAGGGGTATCACCCGGATGTAACTGTTGCTGGTGATGAGGTTCAAAATGGCGCCCGTCCAAAACCGCATATGGTATTTAAAAACATGGATCTGTTGGACTTGAATCCTATAGAAGCCGTTGTCAAGGTCGACGATACCATTTCTGGCGTCGGCGAAGCACTCGAAGCCGGATGTTGGGGAGTAGGTGTTGCTAAATATAGTAACTACATGGGAGTCGATAGTTTAGAAGAAGCCGATGCTCTCACACCTGAGGAGGAAGAAAAGAGATGTCAAGTCTCGCGGGATTTACTTATCAAATCTGGCGCTCATTACGTAATTGACTCTATTGCTGAATTACCAGAAGTTATCGAGGATGTTAACCGACGTTTAGCAAGAGGAGAGAAGCCGTAATTCATGTGTAACTTTCTTCGCCTTAAAACAACTATTACGACAGATAGATTCATATCGATTCACAAGGTCATGCGTCAATGGTTGTTTGAAGCGATATCCGGTTCATCATTCGTATACTTTGTTGTGGGATATCATTAAATCAGGAGCATTTTATGGCAAAATAATGGACGTAATCTAAAAACATATGTGTCCATAGCATTACACATTACTATATATATATATATCAGTGACTTGTAAATCATAACCAGTTATAGTTGTCTAATTCTTAGATACTTGGTAATTGTGTAACCAGCAGATGTAAACAAATTCTCTAACAGTACTTACATTCATAATTTGTGTGGGCAGATTGTTCTACTGATCAATGACTCTGAAAGTAAATAAGTTCCCTCTAAGCTCTGTTTTACAGCGAGTTTTGTAACGTTTAAAGTTGTGACCACGTGCCCTTCTGTTTCTATCGAACGTGAACAGATTGGAAGTCATCTTATTTTAGTATAGACTTTTCTTTCAGTATAAAGTTTTGACTATTTTCATAACTCATTAAACATATGCACTAACTGTATCCTCCGGATAATAATATAATACTTTTGTTAGAGTTTCGATTTTGTTTAATTTGTTGGTAAACATCATCCATGAACCATAGTATTGTAATAAAGTACTACTGCATTTTGTAAGTTCAATTTGTTCCTGAAATCAAATGCCAGCTGTAAAGTATGTTTGGGATTAACGACAAGAGAATGTGTGATTTTTTACAGTTTAACAAGAGTTACCAGAGGGATCATGGTGTCCACCATTGTTTGGTTTATATGTTCATTATAGTAGGATTTCCCCCTTCTTTCCTCTAAATCATCAATACCAAAATCAGGGACCGAGGGAATCTAACGTACGAAATTTGAAACGGATCAATTCAGTGTTTTTAAGGAAATAACGATAACAAACTTTCATCGTCAAAATCCAAGATGGTCGCCTGTCAGACATTTTATTTCTCTGATCAGTTCCAATATCAGGAGTGCACAACTAGAGACCACCGTGAACCGACATATGAAATTAGAGAAAGATGGATATACCGTAGAAATGGAGTTAACAATCTTTCGTTGTCAAAATCCAAAATGGATGTCTGTCAGCCATTTTATTTCTCCTGATTAGTTCCGATATTAATCGAGCACAACAAGGGCGCATTTAGATCACTCCAACGCTTCTCCAAAAATAGCGACTGCAAACTATTAACTGTCAAAATTTATTGTGACCGCCTGTCGACCATTTTTTGGTTTTTGTTTTTGGTTTCACTCGAACCAATCTCAAAATTGGACAATGCACGACTAGGGATCAAGGGTTAACCTACATGATTAAAATATTATGAAATTTGAGAATGAGCTATCCATCGAAAACGAGCTGTTTAAAGGACGCACCACGAACTAAGGACAAGGGGTGAATTGAATAGCCTGTCATGCGAAGGTGGGCTAAAACAATCTGTCTGAAATTAAGTTATCATAAGAACAGCGTAAATTTGTGCTCATGTAATGAACTATCTATGAAACTATGTAAATTCATACCTGTCTGGAAAAGTTATTGGTTTTCGGTCCTTCTGTGAAACATTTTTTTTTTGTTGTTGAAAACTCTCCGTAACGGCCACATGCCAATAAAGCCTCCTTATCTTTGTTCCATTGAAAAACTTTGATATAAACTCAGTTGTCTATATTTACGAAAGGTACGAGCTTTCCAGTCTAAAACTTTGAGTTTGCCTTTCGTGAATGCGTACATTCAAAGATTATGTCGGGTAGCGCAGTGGTAACGAACTCGCCTTTCACCGAGGTACTTGGGGCTCGATTCCTGAAGCGGACGTGAAGAGATATGGGGTTACCTGTCCTGGTAATCTTTTCTCCTCACAGTAAGCCTATTCACTCGCTCCTATGCTGGCTAACAAGAATGATTTATATAACTTAGAGTAACTGGGAATAAATATTTTATTTTAAATAAATAAAAGTTTGATTTGATGAATCTAGAATAGAAATACTTGAAAGCAGTTGACTTCTCAATTTGAGCAATCTATCGATGGTATGAAGAACCATTAAAGGTGTTATAGACCGAGAAAACACACCAAGGCAAACAAGAACAATACAGGCAATTAAGTGGTATGATCTTACAATTTGTGAAACGAGTAATAGCGCTCTTACTTATAAATCATGTTTGCACGAGAGAGTTATTCTGGGCTTAGTGGGAAAAAAAAACTCATCCGGTCGATATGACCCCGTGCCCTATCTAGGTTAAAGGCTAGATAGTTATCTCTTCGCGACCAGATAGCACTGTCCTGATAAGTTAACCAAACAGACACAAACGTCTTAGCAAACTATGATGACCTTGGCATCAATACGTTACATCGAGCAAAATTTGTCCACAAGCAAGAAACGTGAAATACTTTCTCACAATTTATGTCAAACGTTTGATCATTTATTTTTATTGTTTTTTGAATACAGTATTTAATTTCATAATCAGAATTAAACACATTTGTTTATAAGGGACGAGATGATCTACCGTCTTTGTTACAAAATGACCAGATGGCGAAAACATAGACGTTCTGACCTGTTACATGAACGTTTGACTGTATAAACCAGTAAATTTGTTTCCGTGGAAAAAAATGAACAAATAAATTAGAATTGCAATTACGAACATAAACGGAAGTCACCTCAACCCTATAACCCGTTCCGAATACCACCTGATCCACCTTAAAATTGTTTGCTGAAGAGTCAAATTACAAAATATAACCGCATACCAATTTTCATGAATTTCGGACAATATTTTAGATTTCGGCAAATCAGAAACCAGAAAAATGGCAGCCATTTAGTTGATTGAAAGCTACAAAAGTACCCATAATCATCCTATAAACATTTTTTTATATAAAAAGTGGACGATGTTTTGATTTCCACCAATCAGAGAAAAAACTAACGGCCATTTTGTTGAAATGTAAAAGTTGGGCTACAATAGTGACTGATGTTCCACATACTTGTCTTACGTAAAAAAAAAGTATTGAATTCAGACGATATTTAAACCTATGACCAATCAGACGCCTGTGTTTGGCAGCCATTTTGTTGGAAAAAGTCAACATTTTGATCTTAGAATTGTATGCTATAATGCTATTATCCCTTTTGCAGAGTTTCATTACGATTGATCATGTAGGACACATGTTATAAGAAGATATGATTTTAGCCAATCAGAGCATGCCGTCGCCATCTTGGAAGTCGGACCTTAGAAAAAAAAAATGGTGCATAACCAGGCATCATGTTGATTATGTATGGGAAATTTCATGAGAACCCATCAAGTAGTTTCTGATATCAGCCGCGGAAATAATCGGCGGAAGAATAATGAGAATAACTAGAATTACAATTAAAAGCAATAGCGGAAATCTACCTAATCCCCTTAACCTGTCCCGATCACCACTTAATCAGAAATGAAAGAATAATAATGAAACGAAACAATAACGATAAGTCCCGATAAGACTTCGTTGGGATAACTTAAACAAATGGCAGTTCACAGCTGAAAATGATTGGCTATCATTTTCCGTTGGTATAACGACTCAGTAAACAATATTTGTTTCTGTTCGCAAGCTGTATGATAAAGGCGATGATTTTAATTTTCCTTTTGTGAATTTTCCATTTCTGGATAGCAATATTCCTGCATCTCCTGCCTATGGTGTTTACATGTCGCAGTTGGTTCGATAATCAAGATCTCATTATCTTATCAACTGACGGACAAAACTCCTAACACAGGATTTCAAAAAATACAGGTTGATGAAAATAATAGAGAAGTGTTATTGTCGCCATAGTGATCTCATTGAGAAATGTGCCATTTCTTTGTGTGATATGAAGCTGAACGTGTTTAATACTAGATAGTTTTTCTGTTGACTCCATTGTTGTATACGTTGTTCTCATTTGAGAACATGCATTGTTTACTCGAATTGATCAAGGTTTACAGGGCAGATGCATTGATGAAGCAGAAGACGCTTACCCTTCTCGGACGCCTGGTCCTAATCTCCGCGTTCTTTTTCATGAATCTCCATGTGAATCTTTTGTTCATATTTTGCGCTAGTTTTTCGGAATTTTAGTTTAGATTATGATTATGTTGACATGTAGATATTTACTTTTCTTGTGATAGTGCGGAACTATTGCCAACTTTAAAGTCTGACACTCTGCTGGGCACACCTAGCTGGACAGTATCGCCTAAGTGATAAATCATTCGGCAAATGCACTTTCTCGTTTGTGTTAACATTGTGCTGCGGGTCATCAACCGCATCAAGATGACAATCCATTGATAATGAAGTATTTATCGGACGAACTCGTGTCTTTATATTGAATGCACGAACACGAACAAATCATGAATAGGATTAAATGGATTGACATACACACAAAAGGAAATACCTCAATTTTAAGACAAAATATGATAATAAGTCCAAAATATCACTGTAGCTTTGCGGATACTACAGCAGATGGATAGTTACAAGACAATATCAACTTGTCAACAAAACCATGACCAAAATTCAAATTACAAAAACTAGGACTAAAGAAACATATCAAGCTACTTCATTATTCTTGTCCTTGTTTCTGTAGGACTTAATCAGAAGGACAGTGTATTCAAATAATGTTTAACGCACGTTCTTGGTAGAATTTTAATAAACCACCAGGACACCAGACACTAGCAAAAAAATCATATAACGTTACGTGCCGAATCGCTCTCGTGTACAATTTGTCAAGTAATAGAATTCCTTCGTTGCATGTAAAAATAAATAATTGCTTTTATCTATTCCCAGCTGGTATAAGTCGTGTGTAGAATAAGAAAAAGAACATTTCCATGTAAGCTAGTTTCGAATTGTAAGAACATAATCACAGGAATGTATCTCATAACATATTGTTATGAGTCAGTAGCTGAACGCTTCTAGAGTTTCAACTGTTACCAAAGAGGTAGGAAATGAGGGATTATTACAAATATACGTTTGATATCCATCTTATAAGATGCTGTTCTTACGAATGTTTTTTATAGTGTCGTAGTATGCTAATAATTCTTCAAGACTCCTTTTCTCAATGTCAATGGAATGTAGTGTCATTAGGCAAAATGAT